CTTTAATTTGGTTTAACTCTTATTTTAGAAGAGCAGATGATCTTCTAAAAGTGGTTGAATTATTGTCAATAGTAATGACAATGCCAACATTTATTGAGCTCTTACCCTGTGTCAGACACTATACATATAGTACTGTATTCCTTCCAGCAACCCCCCTGTTATCATCCATAAAGCTGGAGAGATTAAGTAACTTGCTCAGGTTTATTCAACTGGTAAATGAGGGAACCAGGGTTCTAATGCTGGTAGTCTGACTTGAGAGTCCATTTTCAGAACCTAGAGGTCTCCTCTAAATCAGGAAGAAAAGGCCTAGAAGACGTCGAAGGGCTCAACTTTCAATGGGAGGAGCTCAGATTATTCCTGATATAAAACACATTTGTGTGAAGATTTGAAGTGGAGAAGAAATTGCTTGCAGCAAGGCCTCCTCCCTCCCTGTCTGCTTGGCTGATTCCTCTTTTATTCTTTAAGAAGCTGTTGAAATGTCTGCCCTTGAAGTCTGCTTTGTCTCTTATCTCCTGTCCTAACATTGTTCTGACCTCTGATATTGCACACTCATCCTGCAAAGCAATTGATTTTTCATGTCTGTTTTCTCCTCTAAAGGACCAAATAACTTGCCCCAAATGACTTAAATCAGAAGAGGTAGAGAGTCTGACTTGAAAGTCTATTCTGTCTGTCTGCCATGCTGTGTGATTTTAAGAAACATCAGGTTAAAAATAAAAACCCATTGAACAGAAAGAACAAACTAATCAAAAACAGACTTACAAATATAGAGGACAATCTGGTGATGGCTGGGGAGGGGGTTGGGAGGCTGAGAGAATGGGGCGAAGGCTTAAAGAAGTATAAATTAGTAGTCGATAGGTGGTCAGGGGGAGAGCGAGTATGGCATAGGGAATGCAGTTAGCATTAATGTAATGGCTAGGTGGAGGGCTAGAGGAGAGAAAGAGCAATTAGGGGGATTATTTTATAAGTTGTATAAATGTCTAACCAATGTGCTGTGAACTTGAAACTAATAAATAAAATAAAACAAATTATTAAAAAAATAAATAAAATTAAAAAATAAAAACCTATTGGTGGAGAGTGTTCAAGGGAAGCCCCATTTTGGATGGACAATTTTTATTCCCATTTTTTTTATGAAAGTGTAATGTACACATAATAAAAGTTATCTCTTTTTAGTGGAAAGTTTGTAAGTTTTGATGAACAAATACAGTTGTATAAACATTCCATGGCCTTTTAATACAGATACACTTGTATGATTGCTGACCAAAGTAACGTTTATAAATAATTTAGTAATCAGTCCCACTTGGTATGAGCTTTATGAAATGGTCAAAGTGTTCTAAATGGAAACTGTTTCCCAAGAAAGAGTTAACCCTTCTGGAAGGGTTAAAGTAATGTGTCTTGGTAGCTCTTGTTATTAAAATAAACTTTCTTGCTCCTGAACTTTATTTGCTTTAATATTTAGCTTTAGGTTTACTTAAATTTAGTTTAAAATCCGAATAGGGAGCTCATTACCAAAAAAGAGAGCTCTTTCTGCTTACAGAAAGAAAAACCCAGTGGTTAGAAATTTTCTGAATTTAGGTATTACTTACCTCCTTAAAATTTCTTTTCATTAGTTCTCATTCTATACTCCAGACATAGAGAATAAATCTAATCTCTGTTTAGGTCTTTTAATAGTTGACAAGCCTTTTTTTCAGGCTAGACATCCTTATAACATTCCCATACTCCTTGTGTCAAACATTCATGATCCTAGAACGGGTCTGCTAGATGTAGCACCTAGGAAAGTATAAAACTTGATTTGTTTGAGTATCTCTTGTCCTTTTTTTCTGCTGAGGGAACTTTGGTGGTAGGTCTTTCTTATATTCTTTCCCTTGAAGGAACATGATTGATAGTCACAATTCTGTCTTAAAATATCACTTGTACCCGTAATTTAGAAAGAAATTGGGACATTTTTCTCCCTTAAAATTAATGGACATATTGACTGAGTGGTACTGGAATAGTTGCTAGGATACATGAGGTGGATGCTTCACCTTCTTGGGCAAGTCTCTTGACCTATCAGAATCTTATTTTTATTTAAGATAAAGGGATCATTTCTATATCTAAAATTCTACAACTCTAGTTTAAATAAACATTTACATGCAACATGAAAAACTTAAAACTGTTGATAAGTAGGCTCAAGGTAAGAGTAAAATCACTAAGATGTGAAGGTATAAACATATTAATAGTATAAAATACAAAAAATAAGACAATTTGACAAATAAAATAAACTAGAGTCAATTTATATTTGTGCCATACTGATCCCCTCCAAAAAAGCTTTTTAAATAGAGAATTTCCGAGAATGTTACATAAAACTCGTTTGCATCTTGGTATTCCTTAATGATAGAATTTGACTCTAGTGAAGGTAGGAGGGATGGGGTTTTAATATAATTTTCTCTCTTTCTTTTTCCTTAATAGATTCATTGTATGTAATTCTATTCATAACTGTGTAAGATTAGGATATTGACAACATACTAGACATATATTTCTTTTTACTCTAATATGCATAATCTACATTTAAATTCAGTGTAACTCAAATGACTAGGGCATTTAATTTAAATGTATTATTTTAAAAAAAAAAAAAACCTCAAAAAGAGATCAAACCTGTGGTTAACAGAGGTGAAGGGTAAGGGAAGGGGGACTTAGAGGAAGGTACAAACTTCCAGTTTTAAGATAAATAAATACTAGGGATGTAATGTACTGCATGGTGACTATAGCTAACACTGCTGTATGATACACAGGAAAGAGAGTAAATCCTAAGAGTTCTTTCTCATCACAAGGAGAAAATTTTTTTCCTTTTTTTTTTATTGTATCTAAATGAGAAGCTGGATGTTAGCTGAACTTACTGTGCTAATCATTTCACAATATATGTAAAACCATCATGCTGTATTTCTTAAATTTACACAGTGATATATGTCAATTATTTCTCAATAAAACTGGGGGGAAAAGCAAAAAAAAAAAAGCAAGCAAATGCACACATCTTTTTTAGAAGAAAGGCAACATAAGTTATTTAAACATTTGAGTTAATGAAAAGGTGAACAATTCATTATTTTAAGGTTGTAGAAATTATGTAAAGCTTCAGTATTAATGATTTTTGTTTACCATTCTAATCCCTCATCTTTTTTGTTGTTGTTGTTCAAAAACTGAGTGATGGTGAATTTTCATCTTATTGTATGACACTATTGTGATGCACTCAGTTCTTTTTAGTGGAAAAGGGAACATATAAAAGAAATATAGGACATATGAATATAGTACTCAGGAGTATTCAGGGAAATAGCAATGCAAGTAATTCAGAAAGACACACATAACTGCAAAGGCATGGAGAAATTTCATGGAAATATTTTTGTAGGATGGGAGTTGTTATGCTGTGTTTCAGGTCATTGACAATTACTACAACTTCCATAATAATCACTGGAGGTGGAATTTTGAAAGCTCTCTGACCTTTGTGAACTGGAAGGGCTAATTTGAGAAGGATATGGTAATGAAGTGTGGCCTTTTATAGGCCGAAAACAGAGCTTTGTTAAGTGATTGCTGAATGAATGCCTGACTTGCATTTTGGGGCAAAGAAGTGAGAGCATTGCATTTTTTTCCTGGAGAAAGTGGTGTGGTACATTAAAGACATTGAGCCTTATACAGCACACCTGCACTCACTAAATACTGGGTTGAAGTGTTGTTGACTTTAGGTTAAAGCTGTGTGCCAACCTAGAGGAGGATCTGGGAAAGACTGTAGGAGAGGGCTACTGCACACTGAAGAAACCTTGAATATTAGCAAATGTACTATTGGATTTCACTGCAGGGATAGAGTATAAAGGACTAATAGGACAAAAATTATCCACTCCTCCTTTATTCATCAAATAAATGTTTAGGCACCTTGATAGGCCTTGCGATACAAGAATGAAAGACCCAACCCCTGCCTTCAGGGAGGTTACATTTTAAAGGAAAGTCACAGGACAGTGTGATGAGTGCTGTAATGTAGTAGAAATGTGCAGGGGACTCTGGCAGTGCAAAATAGGTCCCCTGATGAGTGAAAATTGATGATTTTCTTGATCCAATTTTCCTCACCTCCAATTCCATTCTTTCTCCTAATTATTATTTTTAAAAGGAACAATTTTCAGAAGTTAAAAAAAAAACCTAAGGGATCACCTTGTTTCTTGTTACTGAAGAGATAGTCCGTGGAATATGCGTTTCTTAAAAATGTTTTACTTGTGGCAAAACTCTTATAAAATTGATTCATAGTTGCATATTTGAATGTTAACGGACAGTTGATTCATTTTAAATGAAATGATGTTACCTGTATATTTACACATTTGTAAGTAAATGATTTATAGCTTTAGAGAAAAGCCCATAAATTGGTTACATTCATGGATAAAAAAATAGGCTCATGTTCTCAAGGAAAGTTAGACAAATGTCTTGAATGTGGTGATTAACATTTAAATAAGTCATAGAACTATAATGATCTCTAACTTAATCCCCTAATGTAACTGTACTCTTGTCTTCAGTATCCAAAATATCGTAGGAAATGGTTTCCATTGCCCACAATGCTTCGGTTTACTAATTCTTTCCTGCTCTTAGGCATAGGAGGGGGCAGCTTCCAAACTGCACTGAAATATTTTCCATGTTTAATATGGAAGACAAGTTTCTCTTTAAAATATTTATTTCTATGGAGTCTTTTATTAACTTTTCATCCCGAGCTTGTTCTGTATTTTTAGTGATCTTTCTTGTTCTCATTCTCTATGTTCTGTATAAAACGACATGTGCCATATGTCATGAAATTTCATTTTCAAGGCTGCTCACAAGAAATGGTCTTATTTCCTTGGCTTTTATGCCCTGTATTTTTGTTGAGACTCAAAGGACAATGATCTGTACGTGGTCAAACCAGGAAAACTAAGTCGAAACCTTATAATTCCTAATAAGTTCATTTAATAAAACATGTATTATCTAATGAATTTTATGTTATTTTGTTCTCCCTGTAGATAAACGTGTGGAAAATTGGCCTCTGATGCAGTCCCCCTTGCCTACACTTTGTATAAGTACTCTTTATCTCCTATTCGTGTGGCTGGGTCCAAAATGGATGAAGGACCGAGAACCTTTTCAGATGCGCTTAGTGCTCATTCTCTATAACTTTGGGATGGTTTTGCTTAACTTTTTTATCTTCAGAGAGGTGGGTTTACTAAAGTCACTTTATAATGCTCCAGGGTTATTGGAATTTAAAAACTGAGACTTTGTAAAACCAATCATTGTAATATCATACTCTAAGATAACTGTTAACTATACTAAAAGTAAATGTTATATTATTGACATTTTCCATTTTTGGATAACAAAAATATGAAAGTATAAGACATTTGTTTAATATGGAATTTTGAGGCAGACAGACTGAATGCTAAAATAACCCTTATTAGCTGTTCTGACATTGGAAGTTATAAAACTTTTCTGAGACTCATTTCCTCCATAAAATAGGGCTAATACCTTACCTACCTTCTATGGTATCAGAGACAAAAGTGAGATAATTTTTGCAGTGTTTAGCACATATTAAGCACTCAGTAAATAATTGCAGCTATTTATTTATAATTTTTATTCAGCAGTTTCATGTTTGTAATCTATGAAAATATGCAGATGTAAAATACCAATTTCAAGTTAAATCCTATTGCATAATGTCATTGTATTTTGAGTTGGGAGTAAAATGAGCTAACTGTTATACAACATTGTTGCTAATCATCACATACTTTTCTGGTCACCAGCAAATTCTTCATGACATTTTGGAAGAAAATTCTAAAGGTTAGATTGACACAGCTATTTTTAAAGATAAGAATGAAGGAAATTTGTTTCCCTGAAGACTCCTCATTAACATTCTGTATAAACCCAGAGAACTAGCCTGGTGATGCTGGGAAAATAAATAGCACTCTTCTTTAAAAAAAAACAAAAACAAAAACAAAAAAAAAACACCTTCTTTTAATTGACATCTTAGACTGCAGAATCTCAACTTGGTAAAAAAACTTTAGTTTATTTGGATACTTTTACCTAATATGTTAGATGCACACCATTCTGAATCAAGAATAGAAATCAATACAACTTAGATCTGAGTCATAGTCAATCAGAATTTCTCTTAATGTTATGAAATGGACAGAGCTGGTGTCTCAGTCCAGAGTTACATGTGATTTTTAATTTAGATTCCAATCTCAGATGAACTGACACAGTAAATTTTACAAATTCCAACACCTTTAATATTTAATGTATTTGAATTTTTTAGTTAATATTGCTTTTTAAAATAATTTGAAATATTGCATATTTAGTTTTTTCAAATGCTGTATCTACTAAAACTTTACTCCAAATATTATTCTCTTTTTTTTTTCAGTTATTCATGGGATCATATAATGCAGGATATAGCTATGTTTGCCAGAGTGTGGATTATTCTGAAAATGTACATGAGGTCAGGGTAAGTACATTAAAAATACTTTTAATTAGTCAAAGTAGGTTTCATTTTATAGTCCTCAGCCTGTGAAAAATGTACTTTTACTATAGTGGTAAGAGTGTACTGGATTGTTTTGAGTTAGTAAAGCTATGCTTTTTTAAAAAGTAGATAATTAAAAATTGGTTTTAATACCTCCATTGTCTTTCATTTGGTGGTGTGAGAGTGAATATGTGTTGGATTACTAGAATGCAATACTTAAAAAGAGTTCCATGTTTAGTGTAAATATGATAATTTCAGTTTTTGTTTTTGGTCAAGAGTAGAAATTCATAAAGAGAGTCTAATTTATTTGTTAAGAAAGTTTGAGGAAAAACAGCATTTATAAACTATGTAATATTTACTAAATTAAGTCTAGCACAATTTGTATAGTTATAGACTGTTTTGTATTTGCAGAAAAAGAAACCACTAGTAATATAATGTTATCATATTTTGCCTTCTAGTCACCTATATTAGTAAAATTACCATTTTACTGAAGTGGAAGAAACAATAATTATTTTGTTAAGTATTTATTGAACTCATATACTGTGGTTCATACTAAAAATTATATACACATAAAAATATATAAAACATATGTTATATGTTTCATGGTACATATAGTATATGTAGTAATAATATAATACGTAATAGCTTCCCTTGAAAAAATAGCTTTTTGGCATTGGAGTTGGACAATATAAGTATCAGTATTCATCAGGACCCAAGACCAAACTGCTTTAATGTATTTATCATTATATATCCATGCCTTCATTTCCCTGTTAGACTTATGTGCTGATGAAAAAAATCACCCTTTTAGTTGTCTTATTGGTTTTATTCATTCAACATATATGTATTGAACATCAATCATATACAGGTAGTATGAGGGACACTGGGTGCACAGTTGGAAAGAGAGAAGAAATCCCTGCCTTTATGGAGCTGACATTCTAGTGGAGGGTGGATGAGGCAGATAATAGTCATGTAAATAAATGGTTAACAAGAAAATGAAACCTCTGATGTGACAGAGAGAATGAGGGGACCACTTTATATAGATTTGTTGGCTAGGAAAAAAGTTTCTTCTGATAGCTGCATTTTCAGAGAACCTCCGTAGTAGAGAGCTGACTTCTGTGGTCTTCCTTGGTTTGGGGGAGAGGAAAAGGGAAAAGTGTTGAACTTAATTTCTTTGAGGACAGTGCACTTCGAAAAATCCCTTGAGTGAAACAATATACTAATGTTTTTAGGATGAAGGTTTAAAAATACCACTCTGGTAATTGTGAACCTACTCTCCCAGAATACATAAACAGTCTGTTCTTTTAGAAGTTAGCTAATATGAGAAATGTAATCTAGGAAGAGGAAGAATCAGATTCACAATGGATTGCATTTGAAATTTTCCTCCCTCTTCTCCTTTCTAATATTAGATGTAGTAGAATAAATATTTTACTCAGGACTCATTTTTGTATTCATTGTTATGTAAGAAGAAGTATCACTTTTCATTTTGATGTAACTATTCAAAGGTATCTTATCTAATGCAGTTTACAAATGGAAGATAGGAATTATTTATTACTATTCATGAATTGTGGCTAATTTAGAGAGGCCCAGATAAAGGGAAAAGTGAGACATTATCTCTTAACTTCTAGATAAAGTTTGTGCCAACATGGTTATAGTTATTTTATAATAGTGAATATTCAATATAGTGTTGCTGTGATTCGTTAACTATTTCAAGTCCATTTTCAACCATTGTATCGTTTTCAACAGTATTATTACCCAAGCAAATTCAGTACATAAATTCTCAACCTGTAAATACAAGACTTTGATTTTTTTCTTTGGCGTTTCTCTTTCTTTCCTCCTTGCCCACACTTTATGTAATTTGGGTTTTCAAAAGCAAAAACCAAAACCAAAATAAACAAAAACCTGTGATAGCCAACATATGCAGGTATAAAATGAGGAAAGGTTCTATCAACTCTAACACATCTAAGCCTGTCTATGAAGGAATCTTTCAGATCCCTTACACAGAGAGGTTTATTCAGTTGTGTGCTGCCTTCTTTGTTATTTATACATAGGATATATGCGATAGAAAATACTTGTCATAAAAAAAGTTCTGTTTGGGTTACTATTATAGTAAGATTCTTGTAAAATAAAACATGTGTACAGAGGTCACCTCTCACTGGATCCTTAGGTACTTAATCTCAGCATGCATAGTAATCTTTCTGCACCATCTGGTGTCTTAATTAGAGCCCAGGAAAAGAAAAGACTTATTCATGTAAGCAGGATTATATTTATGACCTAGGAAATTTTGTTTATTTGTTTCAGCCTATCATTTTAAATATTTTACTGCCTAATACAGACTACTGTGATTATACTTACTTTGTCACATATGTTAAAGTGACAGAGACACTAAGAGACCAGTTGCTATACATAAACATACTTGTAGGAATATCTGAAGTATAATATAGGTTGCACATGAACAACTTAAATACCTTTACAAAGTAAATATCTCAATGGCTCTATCAAATTGGAAAACATAGCAAAGTGAATGTGTTTACAGCTCTATATTTGACAGTTTGTTAGTATGTGAATCCAGCTATGTAACAGACAAATTTTCTCCAAATTGTTGGTACAGAGTAGATATAGATTTGGACTCTTTTCTTTCCCATTTTTTCCCCCATGGATTGCTGCCTAGGTTTCACACCTACTTAGGCAAAAATGATTCCATGCCCCCTACATTTTGTGCAATGAAAATTATTTCGGATTTATTTACAATAAGTAGTAAACCCTAGGATAGTGTCATTCTGGTATTTATACTATGCTTATCCTTTCTTTTTACAGATAGCTTCTGCTCTGTGGTGGTACTTTGTATCTAAAGGAATTGAGTATTTGGACACGGTGTTTTTTATCCTGAGGAAGAAAAACAACCAAGTCTCTTTCCTTCATGTGTATCATCACTGTACAATGTTTACATTATGGTGGATTGGAATTAAGTGGGTCGCAGGGGGACAAGGTGAGCGCTTTCAGGAACATATCTGAATGTTTTAAATCATGTAGCTATGTTGGGTGGAAAGTAATTGAGAACCTGGGAATTTGACTTGGTTTATAGTTTACCAAGATATAACTTCTCAGTCTGAAGGTTCCATCTCCAGTCCAAGCCCAGAGCCCACTTCTGCTCTAAAATAGGCCTTAAGTCAACCTGTTGGTTTTTACTCAACATAAGTACTGTTGTGTTGTAGACATGTATATTGGCTCATCTAAAGGCAATGAGACATTTACAAATCTATTTAAAAAATTATATGTACCATGACATTTTCCCCCCAAGAATAATGTAATGAAAAGCAATATAGGCAATAGTTCTGTATTAGGGCCTACTTAGATTGCTGGAGTACCCTACTTAAAAACTTGCCACTTTAAAAGTTCTTTGCCTTTGAGGAACATCCCTTTTTATTTATATGTTAAAAGACTGAATCTAAACTTAAAAAATACCTAGCATGTTCTGAAGAGAAGGCTTGTACTATTTTACAACTTTTATTCCTAATCCATACTCAAGATTAAGGATTAGAAAATAATGTGGATTCATTTATTTCATGTCCAAATGGTTTATTGCCTAATGAAGTTTCCTGTATTTGTAATTGCCTCTGTTTTCCTAAAGCATTTTTTGGAGCCCAGCTGAATTCTTTCATCCATGTGATTATGTACTCATACTACGGCTTAACTGCATTTGGACCATGGATTCAGAAATATCTTTGGTGGAAACGATACCTGACCATGTTGCAGCTGGTGAGTTAAATGCTTCTAAAATTTCTTCTGGTACAGCACTGAAAATGTTTGAGTTTATTGATTGTAAAGTGCTGAGTCATTTTCTGCAATTTTCTATTAGAAAGTTGACTCGGTGCTCCAGCTATGAGAGTTGAGGCTACTTGGCACTGAGCTACCCGTTCATAGACCTAGACGGTCACAACCACTGCTTTTTAAATGTCCTTAAAAGCCTAGACATAGCTCTTGTCTCTTTAAGAGACATATTCTTTAAAAATATCTGTGAAGAGGATGAGTGAAGATATAATAAGCGCACCACAATTGGTACATAGACACATAGGACTAGAGAAACAATATAACTTCGTTTTCAGGTGAATTTTTTTTTTTTAACTTAAAATGTTATTACCTCTTTTCATCCTGCCATTGCTTAAATTTTCTGTTTGCCGTTCTATTTTTCAGTCCTTGTTAATAGATGCCATACATTTAGAATATAAAAGTTGAAGAAAAGGTATAGAGAGAACCAAGGAAGAGGTGGCATAAAGGAAGGGAACAAGGACCAGAGGACTCCTTTTCATTCTCTACCACACAGTCCTTAGAGATCAGAGTTAGGTATTTTCAATTGCTGGTCTTTAGAGCAGACAGTTTTCAGCACATACCCCTAGTAGGACTTCATGTCACATGTGGGTGCATCAGTGTAACATTCAGAGCTAGGCACTAACTCAATAATCAAACTGGAAATCCAAAACCAATCTGGTAGCTATTCTTCAAGCCTTGGAATTTATTATAATTTGCTTTAATCATAGTGTGTACACAATTTTATCAGTGAATCACATTTGGAAATATTATCCATCTCTGCTTTAAGTTGCTAAACAGCTGGCTAACCAAACAGGAAACACAACTTTTGGGGAATGCTGGGTATGAAGTATTCATTTGTAACCAAAATGCTACAGGAAGCTTCCTCCAGTTTTTGTGTAAGCTGTTTGTACAGTTTGTGTAATTCATTTCTCTTAGTAATTAATAAATGGTACTGAGAAAATGAAGAGATGAGAAAAATCATGTGAACTTTTTATATCTATTTTGTCAGAGCCTACACCTGACTCTCCTTGAGCCATGCCATACTCAATCACACCCACGTACACACTCTTTTTCAGTGATGCAGGTTTTAAGAACCATTGTGAAATCTAAAGTTCTTAAAAATCTGGATTTTTCCATGGAAACTTTTAAAAGTCATTTAGTCTGACATAAATTCGGGGCTTACATGAATAAATTATTTTAATAATATTTAATATAATAATTAATACTGATAATACTGTCCTTAAAAGAGAAATCATAATTGCCTATTCCAAATAGGATGTTAATTTTATGAAGGGTAGTGTATTTCTAAGCCAGAAGTTTTCACAACAGTTAATCATGTAAATTAATCTTGTAAAAAGTTAACCCTTGTTAACACTATGGAATTCATAATTTTTATTTTGAGAATCATTCACTTACTAATATATCAGAATTTAAATTGATTTCCTTATATTAATTAAAGGCATCTTAATTTTGGCTTTTCTTCTTTAAAACTCTTAAGGTTGAAAGTGATTCTCTTTACACTTACTCTCAAATATCTACTAAATTTTACCAAAAATCTTAGTTTTTAAAGGATGATATTAACCTTAATGTATATCACCTGTCTACAGTTTTGTAGGAAACAAATAATGAACCATTTTGATAAGCTTATTTTTAAAAGTATGTACACCACGTTACTGACAATTTTGCAGAAAGAAATCAGTCTAAAAATGTGGGAGGAAAACAAAACTTGAAGAGCCTACAATTCTCTTTCTTTCTCATGCCATTAAATGCTCATTAGATAATATTATTCAACATTATTCAACAAATATTCACTGAGTCTAGCCATGTGCCAAGGGCTCAAGAATCATCAGAACAACATAAGGTCCTGCCCTTTGAAGTTACATGCTAGTAGAAAGATGGGTGATCCAGAAGTCACCAAATGCAAAAGACAATTTTAGATAGCTATAATTCTTACAAAGAAAAATAAATCACATAAAACGAAAACCTTTTGGTTAATGGGATTGAGTAGGCCAGTTGGGTGGAGGTACTTTAGTTCTAGTCATCAAGAAGCCCTTGCTGAGGAGATGGCATTAGAGCAGAAACCTGAATGAGAAGGAGCCAGGTGTAGGAGCCAGAGAACTATTAAACTTTGGACAGTACGGCAAAATTTGGGTCTATCTTAGCTAAATAGAAGATTCCGATGTTGTTAAAAGTTGTTTACTATTCACAATAAACATATGCTGCATGTTTTTTTGGTTTGTTTTTCAGGTTCAGTTCTTTGTGACCATTGGGCACACAGCACTGTCTCTTTACACTGATTGCCCCTTCCCAAAATGGATGCACTGGGCTCTAATTGCCTACGCAATCAGCTTCATATTTCTCTTTCTTAACTTCTATATTCGGACATACAACGAGCCTAAGAAATCAAAAACTGGAAAAACAGCTGTGAATGGTATTTCAGCCAATGGTGTGAACAAATCAGAAAAACTAGTGATGGAAAATGGAAAAAAGCAGAAAAATGGAAAAGCAAAAGGAGAGTAAATTGAACTGGGCCTTAACTGTTGTTGACAGTGAGGAAGCTCCCAATTTTCTAAAATTTCAGGGAAAACAGAAGCAAATGAGGGTTTGGGGGTGGGGAGAACAAGCAAATGTGCTCCTATGTATTAGTAACCTTTAGATTGAGTAAAGTGTTAAATATAGTACCCAGATGTTTTATTTATGAAGTTTTTATTTTAAACATTTTTTTTTTATTAGCTTTGATGTTGTCCAGACCAAAGCAATTATTATGTGACTTCGGAGGTTCTCCCTCAGTTCACATCCGTTTGTCTAATGCATGAGATTTTTCATGTACCTTACATGTAGTCATTCTTCAGTCTGATGATCACAGAAACACAATCTTTATGAGTTTTTTGGCTAAATCACTAATTACCTACTGATTAAAATCAGTTACCTTACATTTTCTGGTCCAAAGCTGGAAATTTGCACATTTGAATTCATTTGCTGACTGGAATGGTCAAATCTCTCCACCTCTAGTCTGAGTACATTTTTGGTTGTAATTAAATTTTAAAAATCTAATGATCTCTGTAGACTCTTGATGATGATGGTGTTGGTGAAAATAAGAAAGAATTACAGTGAAATGCTTGCTGTCTGGTGACTCAGAGGTCACCATAACTTGTGGTACAAATCACTGTGGGAAACAATTTTTGTGATGAAAAGGCAGCCTTTGAATACTTCTATTATTATCAGAAATATATTATGAAAATTAAAATTATTGTCTGATTGGAACATGAGACAACTCATGTCTTTATTAGTAAAATCATAAAATAATTACATTAATGTGCTGTTAGAAGACAGTATGTTGATTTTTATCAGACTTTCCTTGTTTTGATTTGTGGCTGTTAACGATTTTTCATATGTGGAAATATACCTACCTCTTCTGTTGGAAAGAACATTTAAAATTAAATAAACTTTAATTAAAAAATCAAGGAGTCCTTTAACATAAATTTTAATATTAACTTTTGAATTCACTAGTATTTTCTGCTTTTTCACAAATAACATATACCAAACTTTGCTGTGAAACTACCCTCTTTCAATGTGTTTAATTTTCAAATGATTTTTTTTTTCATCGTGACGAAGTTGCAAGATCTTATTAACTAGATCTGAAGTGTAAACCCATTTTGGTGCAATATTCTTGACTCCTTGGTGCTAAAGACTATTAAATTCAGTGCTTGATTGTTACAAGATGTTAATTGTTAAGACACAAAATGAATAAAAGAGTAGTTGGAACCTGAAAGTTAAATTTGCTATTTACAAACTCGCTATTTCATGTAATATAAATGAACAACTGGAAATTCACTAGGAAAGAGAACTTGTACACTGGCTTATTACATAAGTTAAATTGATAGGGAATGTTAAACAGGGATCAATATGGAAGGAGAAAATGTGACCCTCCCCCCCACCCCAAAAGCATGAATATTTCTAAGTATCTCAACATGCCAAAACTGCATATTCAGGATGTATGCGTTTTGGGTACACCAACGATTTCAGAATAGTTTGTAAACTATGAAATAGTTATTATGCATTAAAATTACATACTTCTTCCAAAGGCATGCAGTCATGAGAATTACAGAAAATTTGCAACACATAGGATAGTTTGGTATAAGAGGATTCGACACCTTTGTTTTTGCTGCTCAGTGTATGATGACCAGAGATTTGTAATCTTTGTGAACGTCTGCACTGGTTCCCCAGAGCTGTTCATGCCCTGCTACCCGATTTCAGCACAATAAATATACTCCTTTTGTGGGAAAACAGTATTTTGTTAATCTGTTTATTATAATGTAAATTATCTGCTAGATGCTATTTAGTCAATTCAGTTGTTAATATTCCAAATTATACCACTTTCGAATGCAGAAAAGAAATGAAACTAGAACTCGGATGTCTACAATTTCTGGTAAAAATATTTTTTTTATGGTCGGATATTTTTGCTTAAAAATTAGTTACCTTTGGAAGAGCTTTTGGATCCAGACACAAAACATATCATTTTCTTCTACTCTTACATTTGTCATTTCAAATGTAAGCTTTAACATTTTTTAATGCTGTGGGGTTTTTGTTGTTCTAAAAATAAAGTGGAGGAGCTCTTGTGTTCTTATTTTTAAATCATCCAGTCCTCACTGTACCTAACAGTTCCTTATCAGAGATGATTTCCAGATGTGATAAATATAGCCTCTTCTAGTAGCTTTCATAATTTCTCTAACATCACACTAAGTGTTATGCCTCAGACCTAAAAATCAGTGAAGGAGGATTGCATCTCCTTTTTGGTAAAACTTTGTTGCTAACTAAAATGTTTTCTTATATAGAAAACAGGAATTTTTATTAAATATTTGCAATGACTAGAAATACCTGAGGCATGTAACAGTACATTTTCCAATAGAATTGATGACCGTAGCCCTTTTTTTCTCTTTTCTGTGTTACTGTTGACTCTGTTTTGCTGATGGACACTGACCGATGACTAGTTTCAGTATTCGCATTATTTATTTAGTCATTCTCTTTCTCTCTTTCCACACACTCTCTAAGCATTCAAAAATGTTTTCATATGGATTATTATGATTCACTTCTTACAACATAGTCTAGTTGTGTTTTGTAGATTATTGGGAATATTTTAATTTACAGATGTTTCATATATGAGACTCAGTTACCCAGTAAATAAGAAAGAATTTAGAGGTGGAAGTGATTTTTGTTATCTTAACTATTTGACAATATAACAATTCAGGCATTACATATTGACTGTTGAAGCTGAACTTTTGAATCTCAACATCATTAGAATGTGACGTCACGCTGAGATGTTCACACTCTCTCAGCTCTTTCCTTGTGATCTTAATCTCAGCCAGCTGTATTCATAACACTGTCCTTATTGAGAAAAAGATGACTGCAGATGTATGGGATGAAATGTGGGTGCTCAGTATAGACTTGGGGGACTTAGGATCCTGGTTGGTAAACAGTACTACATAGTTGACAGGCACCGTGATGCTGAGCTGCATAAACAGGAGCCCAGCATCTGAACAGTAACCATGAAACCTGCATAATGAGACTGGTCACCTGCCACTCAGCATGCAAGCAATTCTGACACATAACCTTGGAAAACAAGTCCTTAATAGTGGGTTTTAGAATCCTTGTTTGATCTTAGGTATTTTAGGCAGATGACATCTGAACAAGAAGAATAGTTGTGAAAAGGAAGAGAAATAGAAACAGATTGCTTGTTTCAAAACTCCATAAATCAAGCAAGTATTAGGAGTTGGTTTTCCTAACATAAAGTACAGAGAGGAGGCATGTCTGTGAATAAAAGGTCACAGCTTTTTATTATTATTTTTTAGATTTTTAAAATAGGATGGAACAACAACTTTACCTTCCCGAAGGGATTTCAGAGATCTAAATTAAAAATTATAATTGATAATATAGAACCACTACCAGAAGAAGATAGATTCTAGAATATATCAGTAGAAGAGCATTGTGACTTATGAAGAAGGTGGTCAAAACTGTCTTTAGATGATGATTAATTAACAGGAATTTTAGGCTGGCAAGGGATGATATGAGTTGCCTCTTGGAGTTCCTTAAGATTTATAGGTCTAGGTTTTGCTGTGTGCTTTGAGAAATTAAACCCTTTTTTCCCCTACCTGTCAAAAAAGAAAAGATGATATACTGCCATTGTGACAACATGGATGGACCTTGAGATAATCATGCTAAACAAAATAAGACAGAAAAAGTTGAGAACCATATGATTCACTCATATGCGGAATATAGAGTTGAAAGAAACAAATGAACAAGACAAACACAAAAATCGAGACAGAGACAACAGTTTAGTGGTTACCAGAGGGAAAGCGGAGAGGCAGTAGGTAGAAGGGCAAAGGGGGTCAAATACATGATGACAGAAGAGGATTTGACTTTGGGTGGTGAACACACAATGCAATATACAGATGATATATCATTGAGTTGTACACTTGAAACCTGTATAATTTTATTAACCAATGTCACCCCAATAAATTTAATTTAAAAAGCTAGGTCTCAGGTCTTTTTTCTTTGTCTTTTTCATTTTACCACATAATACCATGTTTACATGTCCACAACTGAACAAATTTTCCTTCATACCTTTATTCCTTGGAGATCCATCTGGTCTTAAATAAAAATTCAACTGGAATTTTATTTATCTTATTCTGATAGGTGAGATTCTCTCAGGGAATGTATCCTTAAAGGAGTATCTGCTTTGAGAATAAATATATGCTGAAACACACCACTTGATATCTATCTACCTAATTATAATAATCCAATGCAGCTATTAGAAGGTCACCTTGTAATTGAACATCCATACAGAGAATATGTCGAAATTAAAAGCCATTCTACAACTAAAGAATTTTGGAAGGTTTAAATACAAGCATTTCTAAAAATTGAGTCTTGAAATTATTGGCTATTTCCCAATTTAAATACAAGACTGTGAGTCAAAGAGTATTTTGTCAGTCCAGATACATAGTCCATATACTCCATCAGTCTCCAGGTATCTCTGAATCCCTTTTCTGCAATAAAATCTCAGGGAAGCAAGTTATGTTGTTCCATTTCTCAGTTTTTTTCTTTGAGTTTGCTATGGGGAAAAAGGAAAACATCCAGTTGAAATTCCTTCCTTGTCATCCCTGATGTACTATATTTAAACTGAGTTTCTCCTCCCTGTGAGGAAGCTATCCTAAGAACCAGTCTTTCAAGAATAATGATTACCTAGCTATTTGGTAATGAGAGGGTGGGTAGATTATGAGTCTCAAATGATAGGTAGCATTTTATTAGTGACATTCACACCTCACCTTTGAATGTGGCTTGTGTTCTAATTTCATTAATATGAGAATCAAATACAACATTTACATTTTAATAAGCATATTATATAGTTAGGGTTTATCAGCTGTACATATACTGTTGGATTTCAAATATTTTCTAAGTTCAATTCTCACTGAAAATTTAATAAAGATGTTACATGGTCACGAAAGAACAAACAATATTTAAGTATTTTCATTATGCTTGTAGTATTACTGTCAGCCCTTATGTAAGTGGAGTCTGATCATTTTTCCAGAAAGAAAAGGAATATGGGAGCTTGTGAGGCGAAAGAGGAACCAGATGAATTCGGGCAAAAAATTTTCTAATTTATCATTAAAGTTAAGATTTGAAGTTCACATCCTAGAGTCTATGCTAAATATTAGCCACTTCAGAAATCCAGCACCATTTTTAGTTAGTGTGCTAGATATTTATTGACTCTGTGAATCTATTCCTATCCCCTTGACATGGTCTCCCTCTCCTGCTCCATCCCCAGTATTATAGAGTCTTGAGGACTAAAAATTACACTTCTCAGATTTCCTCACGAATTTAGGTTTTGTCAGTGTGAGGCACTTATGAAATTTTTGGAAGGCAGAAAGGAGGTGGATGCCATCTTTCTCTAGTAATGTAATTACATAAATGGGCTTCTTAGAGATAAAAGTGTTGGGAACAGCTGAACTACATGTTCCACTTGGGGCCAATTTGTCTTGGGACCAATTTTAGTGAATGCAAGTGATGATAATGGTGATAGCAATCATGGCAAATGTGGTCATATGAATTTGAAGTCAAAGACTTTTATTCTTCCAAGTTACCAATAATCTTATAAGCATCTACTTCTTTGAATTAAAGCTCTTTCTGCTTGAAATACCTTGAGTGGTATCTATTTCATGCCATGAACCTCACCTAATTAAGTATTCAGCACTAATAATGATTAGGAAGTAGCAGACTTCCAAAGATAATAATATAGAATTGGTTATCTGACCTAGTTGAGAGCAGTGATAATTTCATGACCGGTGGGAAATGGGATACTGTTTTCCATGAATTTTCATTTATGGTCACCTAGAATGAAATATAGTAGTCCCCGCTATTGGTGGGAGATACATTCCAAGATCTCCAATAAATGCCTGAAACTATGGATAGTACCGAACCCTATATCTACTATGATTTTTCCTATACACACATACCTATGACAAAGATTAATTTAAAAATTAGGCAAAATAAGAGATTAGCAACAATAACTAATAAAATAGAATAATTGTAGCAATATACTATAATAATGGTTATGTGAACATGTTCTCTCTTTCTCCGGTAATTTTTATATATTTCAGTCCAATCTTATTCCTGAATTTCTGTATCCATCCTTTACTGGCAATAAATGGCTTGGTGTCACTTGTTTCAGGAGATCCCTTGCTGAAGTATTCCTATACGCTCAGCATTTTGCCATCAACTGCAATACATTTTCTGGTCATGTCTTCCAGAAATTTAATGCTTTTTCCATCTTCACTAAGCACTTACCGTGCATTGTGGGAAACTTTTGCAGTTTGAGGTGCAACAGCAAAACTAGCATGAATTTCGTTTTCCTTCTTCACAACTTCACGGATAGGAAATTCTTTCTTACCATAGATCTCAGCAACCTCAGCATGTGATTTTTTTTAAGTCGAGAACTTTCACCCTTTAACTGAAAGGGAGTGTAATAGCCCGCTGAAATGTGAAAGGGTTAAAGAATAATTAAAACCTGAAGCTGGACAAAGGAAGTCTATAACTTAGGCCTAGTTTCTGGAACCCCTAACCACATTCCGTTAATCATGAAACTTGTAACAATGAGCTCATACGCTAACTGCCAATTTTAGCCTGTGTAACCTTGCTTGCGTGCGTGGCATGAAAAATAATCAATTGTATATAAGCTGAAAATTACTGTTTGGCCATCGCCCATGGGAACACTGGCTATTGCCCATGGGAAC